CTAGAAGAATATGGATTGAATGATAACTTAATAAATTTCACATATTTAGCAAAACAAGCTCGACAAAATTTCATTACCGAAGTATTTATTAACCAAAATAATTCTCCATTATTTAGGCCAATACCAGTTTTAAAACAAGAAGCGGAAGCTCAAGAAAGTGAAGAAAATATGACCAAACCTGAAATTTTGCTAAAGATAAGAAGCCTTCTTGAACAGCTTAGCGAAAATGCACGAAAAAAATATTCCAGATTGGAGTCGAAAAAGAAAAATGATTTGTTATGTATATTACAAGAGATAAAGCTTGCATTCGATTTAGACAATGATCTTAATAATCAAGATTGTTTGGAGTGAAAATTTTTTTTTTTATAGGGTTGCAGAAGAGTGGGTATTGGATATGAACCATTTTTACGGCGAAGTTCGTAAGGAAAGTTTTATCAGAAATATTCTCAAAGCAAGGGAATGGAAATTTTTTATTTAGGCATTCTTTAACGGATGTTTCTCCAATACCAATTTTTTTTGACGAACTATCAGGAATCGAAGAAATAAAGATTTTTTTTTTTCTTTTTTTTAACATATAACCGTATTACTGTATTAATAAATAAAAAATCAATAAAACAATTTTATTAAATTTAAAATTTTTTAATTTTAACCAATCATTTTTTTTTGATTGGAATAATCTAGAATATTCTGATCGGCAATATTTTTACCATATTAGAAAATTGATCGCCAAGATATATTTGGTAAATTCCCTGACTGAATTATAAGTTCACTACTTTTTTGTTATTTCTTTAATTTATCTAATATATTTTATAGTATTAATACTAAAATCACATTATTTTATTATATAAAAGTAAGTTAATGCTATTATTATTATTTATATTAACTATTTTTACTACTTATTTTATCATATTTCTGATTGCATTTAAGTAATTATTTAAGAGATAGATAAAATATTTGATTTCTATTATATTTTAGAAATTACTTAATTAGTTATTATCAATTATTTTATATAATAAAAAAATTAGATTTTATATTACATAAATTTTTCCTTTTTGATATAAAAGTAATTATTCATTTATATTTATTATTAAAAAATCTTTTTTTAATTCTTTATTAATTTATACTTTTTATATTTCTTACTTTAATAAATTTATCAATTCATCTTATTCTAAAAAGATATTATTTTTTTATTTAATTTATCTTTTAATTTATCAAAACTAATTTTTTTAAATTTTAATAATTAATATTTAACAAAATTAAAAACAATAAATAAATTATAGATATGATTCTAATAATTAAAATATTATTAAAAAAATAAATTTATTTGAAACTTGATATATTAGTATTATATATTGAGAAAACTTTTGAATATTTATCTATTATTAGTTTAGATTGTATAAGTTCTGATTTAATAAACTTATTTATTAGAAAAGATCTGTTTTTTAAAATTAAAAGATTATGTATATAAATATATTTAGCTAATAAATCATTTATTAATCAAAATTATTTAACTATTAAAAATATTAGGTATAGTTTTGATATTACTTTAATTTTTTTGATTATAATTGAATTTTAAATAAACTATTAATACTTAAACTATCAAATACTTTTTAATATCTTTACTAGTAATTAATCAAATTTTAAATAAATATATTTTAAATTGAAACTTTTAATTTTTCTTTTTTTAAAGTTATCTCTACTTTTTAAATTTTTTTTTTTTGATATTTTGCTATTTTTTAAGTTATTTTCTATTAAGTATAAGTTATTTTTTTCAAATTATTTGTTATGAATTACTTATAAAAATAATAACCTTAGCTAATAAATCCTTTGCTAGACTTTTATCTTTAATTTCTTTTTATTGTAACTGTTAAAAATTTGAGTATTATCAGAAAAACTATATATTAAAAACTTTAGATTGTGTTTTTTACGTATTCTAAATAAAATATCAAGTCTTTCAAACTATTTTCATTTTATTTATACCTCTTTTCTATTTAGATTTCCTTTTCTTTAATTTTATTATACTTGATTTTAAGATAAAATAATTTATTCTTGATTTGTTCTCATATTTTTCCTAGAACAAACCTTAGAAGCAACTGTTTTGACAAAGTTTGACTTATAATTAGTAAAGTTCTTTTCAAGAAAACTTAATAATAATCCTATACTATTATCATTCCGGTCTATTCAATCTCAGTAGCTCCTGATTTTTCTGTTTTTCAGTTATTTTTTTTAAAGACTTTTTCAGTTGAAATATTTATTATCAATGGATGCTATTATTTCTTAAATTTTAAATAATAATAATAGTAAAGTAAATGTGACTACAGCTATATATTAAAATTGTATACAAAAGTTCTTATATAACTTTTTGTAAAAATTCTTATTAAATCTCTCAAAAAAGTTCTTATAAAGCTTCTTTGAAAGTTTTGTAAATCTTTTATGAAACCTCTTGTAAAAGTTCTTATAATTTAGGAGCAATTGAATGAAAAGTAGATCTTAGGTTAAGCATAGTAACGTTAACGTCTACGTGTAAAATAAAGTTATTTTTGATTTTTTTTTTTTGTTAAAAGAAAAAAAAAAAAATTCGTTCATTGGTACTTGTCGTTAAACAAAATAAAATTTCATTTGAATAAATGTTCTAAAAATATTAAGTTAACTTGTGAAAGCGAAAATTGATTTCAACCGTAAATAAAATAATCTTTTTAATACCAATAAAACTTTCTTCTCATAAACACCAAATTAAATATGTAAGACTCTTTAATAAATACATAAACGGATAAAGAACAAGTAAGTTATACATCATATAACCTAAAAGTTCTTGTTCTTCACTCCTCTTAGAAAAATGGCCATTTGCCAAGGTTTCAGTAAGCCATCGTCGCACTGTATTACGAAAAAATTGATAACGCCCAGCATTATTTATTATAGAGAATTTTTGATTTTTCAAATCTTCCAATTCCAATAATATTTCCAATTCTAATAAAAAGCCATTGGAAGCTTCCATTGCACATCACAGCATATGGGAACACCAAGTATGTTGAATTCAACATTCCTTTGAAATCAAAATCTTCCGCTGATACGCAGTCATAAATTACAATGATACAAAACGAGAATATAAGTTTCAAATTTCTAATAAAATACCATAATTATTATTAAAAAATGTTCATGAAATAGACGAACTTAATATTTATTAAGATTTATTTGAATAATTTCTAATTTGTTTAATATCGATCGTTAAAATATAATGTTTTCTGATCTAACAGTTTCACATTCTTTGTAAATACATAGAAGTTAACAATTTTATTCTACACAAAAATATAAACAGATCTTAATTTTACAAATCCTGCGACTACCGCAACTAAATTTTTTATAAATAATAACCAAATTTTCAAAAATACATGGTAGAAAAGATTAACATTAAAATAAATATATAAAAAAACTCAATTTATCACATTTGACGCTATTAAATCCGTGTAATCTTAACATCGTATTCAAGGACTTGGTTCAGGAGTTTCTGGACATGTATCATCAACGCATTCTGGTTCAGGAGGACATTTAGTTACATCATCTTCAACACACGGACATTTAGTTACACCATCCTCAACGCATGGAGTACAATTTGGATCATCATCAGGACATTGTCGTTTTTGAAGAATGCTGGTTGAACTTGGAACGGCATTATTAACGGCAATAAATACCGCGAGAACAACTATGATTAACAAACAAATTTTCTTGACATTAGACATATTGAGTGTGTTTATTTGAAAATTAAGAGAGTATTATTTGTTCGATGATTTTTTGAGAAATAAAAACTTCTTGTCTTTTTAATGTTCGCAAATTCACCACCATTTTATACATTTGTAGATTACCAAATTTGTCGTTACCCATCCCTACTAACGTAAATAATCCATCTGTTTTATTTTTATCAAAATGCCAAGACATAGAATTTATGGCGTAAATTTTTTATCGAACTTTAAGTACTGTTATATAACACATGCATATTTTTATCAAATGATAAATTTTGACCATTAAAATTATACATAAAAAAAAAAACTTGCTTAACCAATATCCTTCGACAGATTTAAAACCAAACAAGAAACTATTAATAAATGAAACCGCATCATTCTCATTTGGGCAACTTTACTTTCAAGTAACCTTGAAAAAAGATGCCATTATATAGAAACAAAATATTCATACATTGAAAATCGTTTAAAAATAAACAAATTTTTTTTTACATTTCTATTATTCTTTTTGGTTTTTTTAATAGTCGTTGAAGGAGATAGGTTACACGAAGTTTTTTTTAGTTTTGTTTTTCGGCAAAATTTTTCTTAAACATTTTTTCTTTAGGTAAGTCTTACGAAAGGTTCTTGAAAAAAAAAATTATTTTTAAGACTATACTATATAGGGGTCTATTTTCAAATGAAGCGATGTAACGTAATTAAAAAAGTTATTTTAAATAAATATTTTTTCTATCAACTATTCTCCATATTTCAATTTTACCTTAGTACGTTATTTTAAGAATGACCCTGATGAAAAAAAAAAAATAAATGTTTGGACAATTGCATCGAAAATCTCAAAATTGCTGTTCGGGGTTTTCTTTCATTTTCAATCTTTTGTTTTTTTTGATATCCACTTCCTTCCGCTCATTAAAATGTTCTTTGATTGTCCTCATGATAATTACTGAGCTTCCATTTACGAGGATCATAATTTTTAGATTGTGAATTCCATTTTTCCATGTGTTACACAAACACAAGTCAAAATTGGATCTTCCCCTTTGAAAGCCAATTGATTTCACGTGATAATTGAACTTATAGACTTTTACCGGCATCGTCAGCTTCAACCAGATTTTAGTGAATCATTTCAAAAAGAAACTTTTCATTTAAAGAGATCTCTTGAATACTTATTAGTTAATGGTTCAGAATGAAAACAAGGAATATTCTAAAAATCTACTTAAAATTGTTAAAGGCGAGTGTATTTCTTTGAATTTTTTTTTTTTGCTTTCCTTACCCATGGCTAAGGATGACAACTTCATGCTGTCCCTTGATGATCTTCGTGTTCGTTGTTCTGCCTTGCAATGAGCCTTTCCTACCAATTGAATATGAATGACTCTATTCTTTGCCTATGTAATAATACTAATGTCATTTCTTTGATAAAATAAAGAAAACATCGTGCTAACTTTTATGGACGTTGATGTCTGATTGAGTCCATGATTTATTTCGAATAATTGTAATGAGTAGTTTATATTTATTTAAAGTTTTACAGTATAAAATGGTACGAATAACATATATAATACAAAAGACATCAAATGAATGATACGACATAACATATATCACGTGATTGGGTTGAGAAGATGGAAATGGAAGATCAGAAATATGCTAGTTGATAATCGGGAAAAAAAAAAGTTCAGATTTTACTTCGTTTACCAAATATATATAATACATAATGCTTTTAATTCGAAACCTTTCAACATATTTAAGGGTTACCGGATTAAATTATGATTTGCAAGTTGCAAAAAGTTTATATCGGCTGACCTCGAGAAGAAGTTATTCAAACGAAGCAGACGCTTCTGCTGAAATGCAAGTGAATGATACTCAAAAAAGCTCCTCTCAAGACAGTGTAATTGAGCCTGGTATTAATGGGAATTCCTCAAAATTAAATACGAATATAGAAGGAAGAAGTTCATTTGCAAATAGACTTAAGGCCAAACGTGCAATTAGTATGAATCAAACCCAAACCGGACAACAAAGACAAGTACCTTTACCTTCTTCCATGTTAAGAAATTGGGAAAAACTTGATGAAAGGTTACCTTTAAATCCTATTCATATTAGGAATTTAGGTTGGTAGAAGTTGACTGAACAACCTGTCCAAATAAAAAAAAGAACCTAGTTATTAACAAATGACCTTCAAATGACCTCGATGACAAAAAAAAAAAAAAAAAAGTAAAATGACCTTGTAATTTACCAACACTGAATTATATATATAGATCCTTTTGTAAAAGGTTCATCTCAAAATGTTCTTATTTCTAAACTCCCAATTTCTGCGATCCGTCGAGATATTGAAATGTTGGTTCATGGCATTTTCCCTGATGAAAAACTCCCAATTGAGAGTAAGTTTTAAGTTTTATCATCATTGTCGATGATTTTACACAATTAACATTTATAACGTTATTATCCAGTTTTTAATTCATATAATGAGCATTATAAACCAACCGGGTCGGCATGGATACATTTTAGAGACTCCAAGACAGCTTTAATATTTACTAAATGCACCAATCAAAATATCTTTTATGGGAATAGACTGGAAGTCAAATTAAAGGTAACCACCTGGTTCCTCATGATCATTTTGTAAAAAAAAAAAAAATATTTGATTGATATATATTTCATCTTTATTAGAGAGAGATCCCTGACCGAGTTCGATTTGATCCATTAAATATTCATATTGGCAGATGTGTTATTTTAACAGGTTTGCCAAGGGATATGGACGAAGAATTTCTATCTCAATATATCAAACAAACTTGTGACGATAAACGTTTTAGGGTCATCAATATCTCTCCAAAGTACGTATATTTATACGAATGTATCGTGAACTTTTAATCGAATTTAAACCAAACACATTTTTATTATTTCAGTTTGACACATTTACATGATACCTCAAGGTGGTTGGTACTTCTTCAGAATACTATCGATTCTTATCACGTATTTAGTAGATTACACAATAAACCTTTTAATAAAGATCATCAAATGAAGGCGAGAATAATAAAATGATTTAATTTACATCATATTAACAAACGTTCAGGTAAGGTTAATTGATATTGGTGGGATCCCAACAGAATCGTCTTGGTTGCGTTTCACTCAAGGAATCAAGAGATTCCATTTCCTAAAGAAAAATTTACATATGTTTTTGTTATAATTATAATTATTATAATTATGATTAAGATCCTTTACAATAATAATACCCCTTACTTGTTCTGTCAATTCAAAATGAAATATATTCGCATTTTGACTTATTCGTTCTGGTGTTATAGACTTTGGTATAACGATAGCATCATGTTGATATCCCCATCTTAATAAAACTTGTCCGGGAGTGACCCCATGTTTATCAGCAATTACTTTTAAAATAGGAAGATCGATTTCCCCATTCAATAACTTTCCTTGCCCAAAACTTGAATAAGCTTGTACTTGAATATTATGCTTTTTACATAAATAAATTATATCTTTTTGATATAAAAGTGGATGTAATTCAAATTGCAACACTTGTGGTACTACCGTACAATATGATAACAGTTCGGTAAGATGTTTATGCGTATAATTGCATATTCCTATGGACCGAACCTTTCCTTCCGCGTATAATTTTTCTAAAGCTTCCCAACTTCCTTTACGATTTTCTGCATGCTTGGGATCCGAAGGTTTCAATTTATGCGACCTAAATTTTATTACAGGGTAATAAAAAAAAAAAATTGAACAACATCGAACAAAGTATTTAAGCATGTATTATATTGACTTTATAGTTGTCTTACCCGGGCCAATGGATTAAAAATAAGTCAAGATAATCAAACTTCCATCGTTTCAACGAACATGAGAATGCTGAAAGAGAAAATCAATGAGGATTTAATCGAAACAGATGCAAAAACAAGTTTGTTGATAAAAATAACCTTTTAAACAGCAATCGTATCCCTGATCATTGGGAGCTAAAAAGGAAATTTTACTCGATTAATTTTAAATAAAATAAAAAAATAAGATTCATAAAATCTCAATAGAATTGACTAACGAAGTTTGGTTGTAATAAAAAAATCTTCGCGTTTAAGACCCAAGGAAGGATCTTCAATCAATTCTTTGATAGCTTTGCCAATTGAATCTTCATTTTTATATCCAATTGCTGAATCTATCATGTAAAATTAAAGTTATTAAGATAAAATTTTTAAAACAAACAAAATCAGATTCATCCATATATATATATAGATATATATAAATAATACCGATAAGTCTGTATCCAGACATAACGGCACTTTTTATCGATTTATCAACATCTTCACACTTTCTTATTTGATAAGTTCCAACTAATAAAAAATACTAATTATGTTAACATTTGCAAACCAACTTTTAGTTAAAAAATGATACTGATAATTACACCCGAGTGCGGGAATTTTCATCCCATTATTAAGAACGAATTTTGGAATGTTCGACATTTGCGAGTTTTTTTTTTTTTAACGCCCAAAACTCTTTTTAGATACAATCAAAAAAAAAACTTGTTGATTTAAATTAGCCGTTGTACAAATAATACAGTGGGAAAACCTTACTGCATTTAGAAATTTCTCATCAACAAAAATTTTCTGGTGTATCTGTGCATTTATCAAAAATGAACGAATGGTTACACGCGCACAAAAAATTTATCTATCTCACAAAAACGATCATTTTCATTGTGAATTCTTTTATAGACTTTTTCTTTTTCTTTTTTTTTTCCCTCCCATTGAAATTATATAAAGTCAAACAATAATGGATACCTGCACCAAATATTTTAAATTTTTTGTTGCCGGTGCTTCTTTTGTTTGTTCATTTCAATGTAATTTATTATATCTTGCAAATTATCCAGAAGGGTCAAGAGAATGCGTAAGTAAACCCATTTATGAATCATTTTAATGAATCATTTTATAAGTTATTATATGATCTTAAAAAATCGAATTAATAGGTTCCAACCCCATCCGAATATGACATGCCATACCAAGAAGTAACGTTGACTACGTCCGATAAAATTAAAATTCGAATTTATGTCATACAGCAAGGAAATGATACAGAAGCACGTAAAAGGCCAACGATTTTATTTTGTCACGTGAGTATTGTGATTTCTCTAATGGCATTTATTGGGATTCTTCGAATTTGATAAAATTATTTTTAAAAATTTATTTGAACAATTCGATATTAGGGAAATGCGGGGAATATGGTAAGATATTCAAGATCGTAATTAATGCAAACCGATTTAGAAACGACTTTTATTAATCGTTCATTTAAAAGGGGCTTTGTTTACCGATTACGGAGCGATTATATGATAACGATGATTTCAGATGTAACATAGTCATGCTTTCTTATAGAGGGTAAGAATTTTTAGTTTTTTCTTTTTAAAAAAAAAATGTGATTGACATAATATTCGATCGTCTAGGTACGGATTTAGCGAAGGATCTCCTTCAGAAAAAGGACTTAAAATAGATGCTCAAGTACGTCTTTTGCATCTACTTGCTTTTTACGCTTGTGCTTCTTTACCGGTTTCTTTAAGATCATTAAACATTTATTTACTTTTTTAGACCGCGTTGGATTTTATTATGAAACATGAAGTATTCAAACACACAAAAGTAGTGGTATATGGTCAGTCGCTTGGAGGCGCAGTATCGATCGATTTAGTATCAAAAAACGAAGATAAAGTCGGTTTATAAGTTATGTGAGATCTTAATATTTCAAAATTTGTTTAACAACTTTGATTTATTTGATATTCTTTAGGTTTCAGGTCTCATAGTTGAAAATACCTTTCTTAGCATTGTAAGTTTAACATCGAATTTATGCTTTGCATGATTAGATTCATATAATCTAATTGTCAATTCTTTTTTTTATAAATTCTTAGCCAAAGGTAGTACCTCACGTCATCCCACAACTTCGTCACTTTTCATTCTTTTGCACGCAAAAGTGGGATTCAGAGAAAGCTATTCAAAATATAAAGCGAATTCCAATATTATTTCTTTCGGGAGCAAATGATGACCTTATTCCAAAAGAACATGTTAATAAATTATATGAATTAGCAGAAACCGAAGGTGGGAAAATAATAAAATCGTTTCCCTATGGAACGCATGCAGACACAGTTGCGCAACCGGGTTATTTTGAATCTATTGGTGAATTTTTATTAACAAAAATTATGAATTAATTATACTTATACTATTATTATTGCTAATTTAATAAAATTAATGTGATACGATCACACATTCACGTGATTCCATTTATAAATATCGTAAAATCTCTCGGCTTTTTTTTTGAACCCCAATTTTTCCTTTTTTTTTTTTTTTGGTATAAATTATGGGAGTGGGTAGAAATTTTGCAGTCGTTTGCGCAAGCAACCAAAATCGTAGCATGGAAGCACACCATGTACTCACGTAAGTTTATAGAATAACCTTGTTTCAAATTAAGATACACGTCTGATTATATTATTATGATAGCAAATATGGCTTCAAGGTAAAATCATATGGCACAGGCTCTGCGGTTAGGCTTCCCGGGCCAAGCCTCGATAGGCCAAATATTTATCCATTTGGAACTCCATACGATTATATGTTTAAAGATTTATACGAGAAGGACACTAAATTGTAATTTATATCGCGATCGATCATGTTTTTTATACGTTAAACATTTAAATTTATCAAAAAGTTTCAATTAAAATTTGAAAAGGTATAAACAAAATGGATTATTGGATATGTTGGATAGAAACAGAAAGATTAAGTTGGCTCCTGAACAATGGTATACCGAAGCAAATGAAACTTTTGATGTAATCATAACCTGTGAAGAACGATGTTTTGATGCTATTTGTGAAGGTATTTTATTTTATTAAAGCTTGCAAAAGTTTTAATTTACGTTAACAAATTTTACGGATCATTAGATTTAACGGATAGAGGGGAGCATAAGAATAAACCCGTTCATGTGATAAACATTGACATTAAAGACAATCATGAGGATGCAATGATTGGAGGTCGTGCTATATTACAGCTGGCTCAAATGGTTTGTGTACTCACATTTCATTACTCATTTGTTGTCTTTTGCTTGTACCAAATTTTTTATTTTTTATTTTATTTTACCCATTTTGATAAAGTTAAATATGTCGGGAATTATTTGGAAAAAACCATCTAACATGATCGAAAATTTTTTTCTTTCCATCCCACCCTTGATTATTATGATACTTATTGTACTGAAACAAATGATTGAAAATAAAAATAACTATATATATATATGTATATGTGTATCCATATTTCGAAACAAATTCTTTGGCGACACTCAGATTGACAATGAACAAGTGGCTGATCTGGATGAAACGGTTCCGGGAATTTTACAAGAGTGGCAAGAAAAATATAAATATGATTTACTTCATTCCGTGGCGTATTTTTAAACTTATGGTTAATCCGCTAGGGTGAGTTGCCCAGCTCTCAAAACCTTGGTCCCTAAAGTATGATTCATGAGATTTTTTTAAACGGGAGCCAAGAGAAAATGAAAAATGAATGAAGTAAATTCATTGTCAGTTGGCAATGAATGCCAAGAATGTTTGTATCACATATCAAATGAGGGGTTTGTTTTATTCACCCCAAAAGGAAGAATCATTCCCAAATTCAGGTTTCGATTCAAAATATTAATTAATAAAGTGAAAAGGTTTGTCCCACAAACAGAATTTAAACTCTTAATATAAATTACTTGTCGCTCCCACCTATTAAAATTTTGTCAAATTTCAATTTACAAATACTAAAGGTGTGTCTGTTAAAGCGTCGATTGCTGGGAAAGTTTAAAAGCAAAATAAAAATAAAAATAAAAAATAAAAAAAAAAAAAAAAAGCTAACGAGTAACGTATACAAATTTGATCGCAATAGCTCGTTATACTCGCCGATTTTTTTATATTCAAATTATTTAATAAATAGAATGAGATTATTTGATAAATCAAGAACCATTGTCTCTGAATATTTAGGTAAATCTGGCTTTCCTGCTCCTCTCTCCTTTTTTTTTTTTTTTTTTTGTTACATGCGTATATATATTGCCTTGCTTTTGATTTTTAACGATTCGAACTATAAATTATAGAACAGTGTGTCAATAAGAAGGAAGATGATTGGGGTTTGATCATAAACACTTGTAATGCGGTAAATGCGTCAGAGAATGGAGCAAAAGAAGCAGCAAAATTCATCAGGAAGAGATTGTCAAAATCAGTAAACGTTCAACATCGAACGTTAACCGTATGTTTTATTATTATTATTATTAGTTGATCAATTATCTTCTTATCATGATTAATTAAAAATTCTTTAAATATGTTGGATTAGGTGTTAAAATCCATGGTGGATAATTGTGGAGCAAAGTTTCATGCGGAGATTGCATCCAAAAAATTCCTTGATGATCTGGAATTGGTAGCAACTTCCCAAAGTACAGATGATGTAATCAAAAATAAAATAATCTCATTGTTGAGTGATTTAACTGAAATGTTCCAAAATGAACCTAGTTTGTATCAAATATCGAATCTCTATACGAGGTTAACGGGGCTAACCGGTGTTCAAACTCCAGTTCAAACTCCGGTACAAGCTCAGGTATGATATTATAGATAGATAGATCATTGTTATTTATTGAATTCACTAAGATTTATTTTTCATGTTTGATTCTTACATAGAGACCCGCTTCATATCCTGTTCAAAAGACAAATATCTCTCACGATGTCGTAAGTGATGAATGATTTTTTCATTAAAGGGTCGAGTTGATTTCTCTAATAATTTTTATTTTGAATCAGTCAGCAAAGGCCAAAATTACCGAAGACATTGAAGTTTCAAAGAATAATGTACAATTATTCACACAGACTTTGTCGTTTACGGATCCCGAGAGTGAGGATATTACTAAAAATGAATTGATTCAAGAATTTTATACAAAATGCAAATCGTTACATCAAAACATCATGAGTTATATATCTGAAATTCAAGACGAACAATGGATGAATACTCTTCTTTCGGTTAATCAGGATTTTTTGAATTCATTTAAAATGTATGAGGATATGGTTGAAAGGGGACAAGTCAAAATAGCAAAACAAGAATCTCAAGTAAATAAATTCATTCTATATTTAACTATTTTATTATATAAAAAAATGAAATAATATGTATATATATATGTTTTTCCTATTTTTATAGAGGCAATCATTTAGGGGATCATATCATCTGGATCATGAAGGAGCTGGAGTGGGTGGTTCATCGTCACGTGATCCATTTGCGGATCCAAACGAGGCGGAATATGATCCCATCGTGTCGGGTCCGAGTGCAAAAGCATTAGGGTAAAATTATTGTTGTAATATTGTATGATATTTACGAGAATGATCAACTAATCCAAGAAAAAAAAAAATGATTTTTTCCTTTTCATTAGCAAAATGCCCGCGTCAAAATTTTATGACTCGGCACAAAATTATAACACAAGCAATAATCATTCACCTTTATATAATGAATTTCCAAATAGAACTTCCATATATAATGATCCCCCAAAATTGCCAGCATCCATATATAATGATACCACATTATTTGAGGAAGAACAACCAGCTTCAGAGGTCCAACCACAATATCCTAATATAGTTGCTCCTTTAGAACCATCTGATTATAAACCTCCAAATAGCAACAATAATATTAACGGACGACAAGAACATATCATAATTTAATATATAAATATTTATATATAATTTTTTTTATTCTTTATTTAAATACTATAGATTTTTTGTATTTTATCTTCATATTTCAATTTACTAATTCAATTATTTTACATCGAAATAAATAAAATATGTAAATTATATTTCAAAAAGTAAAAGTAAAAAATCCAGTTGCATTAGATTGATAAAGAAAAAATTTTTTCGAACTTTTATATATATTATGATAATTTCTCCTTTTCAAGGATTAACACATGCCATTCTACAACGCTAAGCAAGTTTCGTAAGATGACACGTGTCATTGATCATCTAATTAATTCCTGAAACAGCAAGTATTTTAATAAAAAAAAAAAAAATATTCAGATTTACAAGATTTACCGAAAATGAATGTTATAAAAAAGAATATTTATTAATTTATTAATGATTGAAAAAGAAAAACTTGTAAAGAGAATAAAAACAAATCGTCTTTATAATATTGCATAAAATCTCGTGTGTGGTTGATCTTTTTTGTTTGCTAATTTCGGATGTCTGAAAATTTCTGTACATCATCATCATTATTATCGTCGGCCGAATAAAGGAATTTTTTTATTTTTTTTTTTTAAAAAGCGGGTTGATTATAACCGAGTAAAAAATAATATAATAAAAATAATCTTTATGCCTTCTCTTTTTTCATGAGCAATTGGTTTTATTTCCCCCCTCTCTCTCTATCTCTTCTTTTTTTTCTTATTATTTATGATTTGAAATTTCTCTTTGATCCATTTGATCCTCATACATTTCCGTTCTTGTTTACCGATTTTCATTCATTTTCACATTCTTATCATTAATTAATAATTAATTTCATTTATAACTCTTAAATAGCAAATAATTTATAAAAAGGTTTTTTTTTAATATAAAACGCTCATTATTTTTCAACAATAAAAAAAAAAAAAGAAATTTTCCTCTTTGACAGGGATAAAAAAAAGTCATTTTTTTCAAAGATTAAAAAAAAAAAATGTCGGATCAACAATACGATGAAAATTTCGTTGAAGAATCAAATTATTCAAGTGGAGGAGAAGAAGAATCTATCAGAACCTCTTATGACCCTATTAAAATGACCCCACAATATCACATACAAAAAGCCGATACTGCTTTACAAAATTTAAAAAACGTGGTGAGTGAACCAGGATGGAAAAAAGAGTTCCAACATAAGAATGGTGTGGTGGTTTATAATAAACCTGGAATCTCGAAAGGTGATAAATTACCGGTCTTTATGGGTGAACATGTAATTGATGGGTACACTCCGCAATCTGTTTTCGCCGTTATTAGTATGAGAAAACTTTGGGATGATTGGTATGTTGTCTTGGCGCAGCTGTCGATCATTTTGGTTCCCTAAATTTTTAACGAATCATTAATTTAAACATTAGGTATGAGGAGGGAAGTCTCGTTGAAAATTTAAACGAAACAACAAGTTTAACTTACATGGTTATGCAAGCATTGGCCGGTTCCAAGTAATTATCGAGACAAAAAAAAAAAAAAAAATCTACTGCGCCTAAACAAATACGAATTAATTATGTTTCATTTTTAAAAGAACTAGAGATTTATCCTTGGTGGAAAGGATTGAATGCACCGAAGAAGGAGCGATCTATTTTGTGACTACCTCGGTTGAGACCTCAAAAGTCCCAATCATCGCTAATAGGATCCGGGCTCACATTCAACTTAATGGGTGGATTCTCGAACCTTTGACTTACGATCCACCAAAGACAAAACTTACTTATGTTCTTCAAACCAAAATTAAAGGATGGGTTCCGTCAATCCTTGCAAAGACTGTTTTGTCAAGACGTCCCCTTGTGATGAATACTATTGATCAATATTTGAAAAAGAATGGTCCTCCCCCAATAATAATTGAATCCACCCCTCCAGTATCTGCTCATGAAGTTTCTCCTAACGTTGTAAAGTAAGATATCCCTCTTTTTTTTTTTTTTTTTGTACAATATTTAAGTATTTATTAATCAAATTTGACCATTATTATAGTGATAATCGTAATTCGGAAGATGCGGAAGTTAAAGTTGCGAGGAAGAAAATCTCATTTACGGTTATACGTGATGTTTCCGAGAAACTAAGTTCAACTAAACAACATGAAAACTCGATTTCCACTAGAGAAATTCCAAATGGTTCCTTGTCTCATCAGGACGATTCACATTCGCCTAAAAGTCCTCCATCATCAGATGTTCCACAATCTTCTTCATCAACAACTCAATCCTCGCTTATTGAACAAGATTTTTCAACGACGGCACAATCATCGTCTATTCAACAAGATTCTTCGACAAAGTCACAATCATCGTCTATTCAACAAGATTCTTCGACAAAGTCACAATCATCGTCTATTCAACAAGATTCTTCGACAAAGTCACAATCATCGTCTATTCAACAAGATTCTTCGACAAAG